TCCGTGCCCGTGACTTCCACTCGCATGAGCGAAGAAAATGGAAAGATTTCGTGCGTGAAGTATTATTGGCGACCTGCTAATGCGGGAGAGTCAAGGTGAGGATGAAGGGGTATTAGAAGTTCACGCTTGGACGGAACACGCGAGTACGCTCGCGAGTGGCACGCGACTGATCCGCCGAGCGACTCACGCGAGAAATAGAAAACCGCGTGTGTATCTTTTTCTCCTCCTCTTCCTTCTCCTCCTTTTCCTCTGCCTTCACCTCTATCTCCTCCTCTTCCTCGTCCTTTCTTTCCTTCTTTATTCTTTCACGTAGAGAAACTTCCGCGATGCGTAACTGCACAGGGCAAGAGCGGATTTAATATCGTAAATGAGTCGTTCCCTCCGCGTTTTCGTGTTTTACGTTTCGTAAAATTATTCGCACTCCTCCAGCAGTCACGTAATTTCATTCGTGGCTCGAACGATTGAGCAAGCGAATCAACAGTCCCTGTGTATTGTGAATGAAACCTTCGTTGACGCACTTATTTTTTATGACTTAGTTTAGCAGATCTGATCTGTGACCAAGGAACTTTTCTGCTGTGCCCTGTAAATATGCTTATCCTATAAATGTGCTTGTTATTATATTACATTTTTAAGTGTACAAAAGGTAAATTGGAAAAATTTGTCGCAATCTTATTATTTAAGAAATCGGCGATTTAAAGTATAAGAGAAGGTAACGTATCGATTCTACAGAGAAGAAAGCAAAAAATTATGCACACTTGTTGATGATTTTGCGTGTAGCCTCGGGAAGTCCACGATTGACGCAAACGAGGCAGAACCTCTAGCTTAATTTCCTGGTTGCGAGGATGATGGTACAGGCGCCAATTAACGAACTCTTTATTAATCTTACTGGTTTATTTAAAAAGGATTAATTGCGAGCGGCGTCTTGTATGTGATCGGATAGTCTAGCTCCGTTGAAAGTCAAAAACCAGCTTAAGTTATCGAGAGCCGCTGCCGATTATGAAGACAGCGATAGTCAACAATAACGGATTTCGAGAATGTTCTCGAAGGAGTCAACAATGAGGCGGTAGACAACAAACATAAACAGTCTAACGTCTCTCGCCAAGACAAAGAATTTAAATTAGAAAATGATACGAAACAGCACTTTAAGAAAAGAATTCTATGCTTATATTTGCAATAATTCCAGAATTAGCAATTATGTCTTAATTTTTCGCTTGGATCAACTTGGCCCATGAATGTCGATCTAGGGTTAATTTGTAAAACAACGAGACTATATCGCTGTAATGTTTATGATCCGAGCATCCCTTGTACCTGCATCGCTATAAGGGAGGAAAAAGCGCCCGATTAAATACTCACTCATTTTTGCTTTATTATGACATAAACCACCCTTGACGAAATGATCGGTGTAATCGAGAGGACTCCGTTCGGCCGATCGGGAAAACTCGAGCGCTTCCCCGCGCAATACAATTACAGTCGGAACGGCGAACGAGTCTCGCGGGATGACGATGCCTTTCTCGGAATGGCTATGCCGGCCATTTCGAAGGGTCGGGAAAAGTGAGGGGGGGGGGAAGCACTGAGAAAATCCTATTATAGCTCGTATCCAACGTAGAGTGGTACAGTGTGGGGTGAACGAGAAAGGTCGAAAGCTCACCCCTCGCGCGCACATCCGTATTGACGCAACGCAGGAGCCCACCCTGCGGATTAACCAATCAAAACGCAGCATCCGCGCATGCGATCGCTCGGAAGTGTGCCATTTTGTGCGCCACGCTATCGCGCGAGTGGAATCGAAGCACCTTCTCCCCCGGGCGGAAAATGAAACCGAGAGTTCGACACAGTGGCATATTTAATCGTGACAAGTGCGTAAGCTCGCACGCGTGTGCGTCGTACGACAGAGCCGTACGACTCGAGCAAACTTGTTGTTTCCTCCTCCGTATCGCGATTTCCCAGATTCTCCCGAGTCCTTCTCTCACAGAAGATTATTTATTTATTTATTTATTTATTTACGAGAATGCCTCCAAAAGAAGATATATGTATATGCATATAATTTATTAAGTTGAAATTGTACATATAATCGGAATTAAATTGAATATATCAGTGTTTGTAAAACAAAGATTAATGTATTCCGATATTCACTGGCGGTACTGAAAATCTATAGTTCATGTCACGTGTACTATAGATTTTCAGTACTGGATTATCTCATATTCATAATCAGTTACTGAATATCGGAGCGCAGCCTATGTAACATTAAATAAGAAAAGCGTCATCGCATCGCGGACTTGAAAAGAATTTGTGATATGTATTTTCTTAATGCTAATAATAGAACGAAACGATCAATTTGACAACTCTCTGTGCTGCAAATCCGGTTGAAAGGAGCACGCTGGCAAATTTCGGTGATTTACCTCCCATAACCCTTACCCCACCCCGCATAATCGCCGTAATAATTATTAAACGCGCCGCCCCGAAGAAATATAGCCCTTATTTCGCTCTAAGAATAATGGGATATTACGAAGTATGCGATCGTTCCTTGCGAGAGTGTCGGAAGCCGAGATTAGGAAGCCGCGAGGTATCCGCAATTATCGCAACTTTACGAGCGTGCATCGCGTCGGCGCGGTGAAGCGGCAAAACCCCGAAGATATGTCGGAAGAATTAACCCTCTGCGGCGCAATACCTCGAGTTAAGAAAACCGAGATAGAAAAACGGAAACTTTTGTTTCGTGACATTCGAGACATCCTAGAGAATTACCGGTTTTCATCACAGCTCTTTCGATCGATTTGATTTTCTTTCTCAGCGGACACTCGAAGCCGATTTTTCTCATCAGAAATATCAAGAGAGTTTTGAGTTTCCTAACTTTTCCAGCGCTATATCACACTTTACACTATATGCAAAATGTACAGGAAAATTTTTCATACCAGAAGAAGTAACTTTTTTCTTAGCGGAAGTGTCGAGAAAGTGTCATTATTTATAGCGACTATTCAATTTTCAACATAACACATCTTTGAAGCTAAGCCTTAGATTAAAATTTTGTTCGAGTGAAGTCTACTTGAAATTGACCGAAGAAAATAATGTCTTTGCTCATATTTTCCCCCGAAGCTTAGCTCGCGAAAAACTCCATTTCTTTCCATCGCTCGTTTCTCGGATATTACTGTTCGAGCGCAATTTCGGTGAAGGAAGAAGTTACTTCTTTTGGTAAAACAAAATCTCCGTGCGGAAACTTTCGGACGCTCTGTATAATTGCGTCGTAGCCTGAAAATTCCGTCGAAGTAAAAATTCCAGGACCCGTCGAAGATTAATCATTACGACCGCGCGTTCCCGGCGAATCGTCACAGCTACGTGCTCCTCGTGTCCGCTCTAGCCGGTTTCAGCGGGTTCGCCATATTTCAGAACAATAAGTATCGCAGTCTGGCGTACCTGGCACCGCCACCGCGAAATAAAACAAAACAATACACATTTAGCTCGCAGGAGCCCGGCGGGAGCGCGGACGAGGCTTTAAACGGTTTCCACCCCGCTTCGACCGATATATAGTTGCGCGCGGGGCCGAAGACTGTTAAAACTGGGACGGATATTTTCGGCTTCGATGCGCCGCATTCGGCCGTTGCGAGAGAGAGAGAAAGAGAGAAGGAGAGAGGGAGCTCGTTTGGTATTTGCCGGTATCGGGACCGCCGATAAATGGGAAAACTTTCCCGGGGCGTTTTCAACAACGCGCGCGCGCGTTTCCAGCAGAAACAACGCTCGCCGCCCCCTTCGCTTTCCGAAAGGCAACGCACCCTTCCGTTTTCGTGCCGCCGCACTATTCTCGCGTGGCGGCTCGGAATTGCCTCTGTATTTCGGAAAGCTTAATCGCGCGCGCACCGCTTCCGCCGCCGCCGCCGTCGCCGCGTCGGATTACGTCCTTGAATTATTCTTATCGGGACATCGTAGCGCTCGCACTCACTAGATTCATTCGCTCTAAGACTTGCCGTTTCTACTCCTTTTCTTGAGGGCGCCCCGAATTCTTAACATTGTGTATCTGATTTATTTCGGTACACCTAATTTATTTTTCTTTACACTTCGCGAATTTATTGTTACCCACATAGTTATTTCTAAATTTACTCGGAACCACGAATATAATTTGCACATGGAGGGGAAAGGTTGATTGAATTGACGTGACAATAAATGAGCAAAACACGTTTAATTAAACTAAATTCAGTTCTTGACAGCGCAAATTCTATTTCTTTCAACTAAGATATATTCGGTCTGTTCACGGTCTTGTCACGATAAATCTTTCTTCTCTCTGTGCATCACTCTATATTTTTATAATATAAATAATAAAAATTGTAAAAATGTCGTAGTTATTATTCGAGTAACGTTTGAAAAATGTTAGCTTCTTTCTCTCTTCTCCAGTCCAAAGAAACTTCCAGCTTAGGGGAAGTAATCGACCAGCAGATATTTTGGATGCACGCACGAGTTGCAGGCTCGTTTCATATTTGCCCCGTATCGAATCTGCCGACAAATGGGAAAACTTTCCGGAACATTTCGGACCGATGCCCCCCCCCCCTCCCTCGCCGCAAAATGTTAGCCTTCGGTTTCGAAAAGGCAACGTACGCTTTCGTTCTCGTGCCGTGCCGCTCTATTCTCGCAGGGCATATTCACGTGTACGTCTAACCGCGTCTGACAAACCTGTATTTTGCGCTGCTCTTAACTTATCCACGCGAATTAACCCCTTGAACTTTGCTCACGGTGCAAACGGAGCAGTCTTTCGGTCTTCGATTATGATCGGCGGCGATTTTACGACGACTATGCGGCTCCGCCTCAACCGTCAATCGATATTCAGCATCGCCGTCAGCGTCAATCTTTCAGTCGATTATTAATGCGATATCGTTTATTGGTGTGATGACATTTTTCAATACGGCGGAAGGATGCGTATTCGTTGCATTAATATCGCATCGAGATTGCAGCACAGCTGCTCGCGACTATATTCTATGCGCCTTTTCGCATTCAATCGATGGACCGATTCTCTGTTTCAGGCACTGAACGGGTTCCTGCTAATACTGACCTGCGACGGGGAAGTGTTTTTCGCTACCCACAGCATAGAGAGTTACCTTGGCTTCCATCAGGTATCGTTGAATTTATGATTAACAAAGTATCGGCAGCAGCGGGAGAGACGTGTGGAAATATATTGATATTTTATTCTTATCTTCGCAACTCAATTGTGAAAGCGAACTTAACTTTCCTCCGGGAAATTGCTTTTAAAGAATCGTCGTTAAAACCGAGTCTTTACGACTTATATCATATGAAGAACAATTTTTTGTCGACACAGAAAATTGTTTGTTACTATAGTGATAACAAAAAGATTTCTCCGGGCGGTAAAATGATATTTTAAAAGCGTTGCTAATTATGCCAACTAAATTTGATTGCTGTCGCAATGACGTTTTGCTATAACGGCAAAATTATTTTTTTTCCGTGTAATAAATCTTTTTGCTGTCACTATGGTAACAAACAACTATTTACTGTGTGTCAGCAAAAAAGTTTTCTCCGTGCACCGAAACCAAATTACTGTTACATTAACAACATCGGGACATAACTGAAGGACACATTGCCGGAAGATCGCGTTGAAAATCAACGACATCGCGATAAACGAAACATTGCCGACAAATCTGATAGCGTTCCAAGGAAAAAAGAGAAAAAAATCACGCGAGTGTCTCTGAAACGTGAAGTCGACGACGTATTTATAGATCGAGAATGCCTGTGCACTCAGCCCACCCCCGGCTGGCCCTTATTACAAGGTAATTCTAGACATAGTTCACCCTCGTTGTGTTAGTTTATCTTCAGTCACCCTGTGTCCACACCCAACACGCGGCAGTCACGCCAGGGCCGTCAAGTTCACCGTACGTGTCACGTTTGCTCAGGCATCATCCTTTTCGCGAGACAATGTACCCTCCCGGCAGAACTGACGGCCGATATGCATTTTTCAGAAGCAACAGTGGGTCATAGACGCAATCGTGCAACACGCTTTGCCGTCGCCTACTTTAACTTAGACAAATGTGCCTCGCGCTCGGAAAACGAAAATCTCTCAATAAAAATCCCGATAAAAATCCCACTGCAGAATTCGTTCGTAATAATCTATAAAAGAGTAATTCTCAAATTCCGTACAATTTATAACAAAAAATATTCTCAACGATTCGGAAATAGGCGAAAAGAAAGAGAGAGAGAAAGAGAGATAGTGGATTCTCGTGAGCCCAGAGATCCGCGCGTTCGAGACGGTCTTTAATTAAATTATGACACGTCGGGTGATTGCGAACGGGGCCTCATTAAAGAGCGACGTAACCTTGACGATTTTACTCGAACGGGTGAAAGAGAAAGAAAAAGAGGAAGAACGAAGTGGACCGCGGACGAACCGGGCTCATCCGCGGACGCTGGTGCACGGCGGTGGGAACTCCGGAATACCGATCTCGATTCACCATGCAGACCGAATCTAATTGCGAGGCTACGATCCACACTGTTGCACATTCGATTGCTACCGGCGGCGTTTCTTGCCGCACGATCATTTGAATACTCGGACGTTCGAGGGGAAGCCCGTCGAAACGCCGAGGTTTCTCTCTAATGATAAAGCGGCTGTGTGTAACCACAGTGCCGCGCGAGCTATTGGTTCCACGCGAGAGCATTGTGTACACAATGTGGAAACTGATTTCTGCCATTGCGAGACGAACCGGCGAAAAAGAGAAATGGTGCAGGAGAGGGGGGGGAGGTGGGTGGCCAGGAGAAAGAAAGGAAGAACCGCGTTCTTAACGGCGCGTCCGGTGGCGTTCAATCGAAGCCTCGATTTGATGACGCGCTCGAGGTGTCGGATAGGTGGGCTCCAAATTTCTCGAGCTCACGGAATCCTCGGGGTCCGCGCGAACTCGAGGATCTACGGGACCGGTCACGAGAGTTTCCGTGTTCCTGACGGCCGACTGACGGACGTCGCCGCCGCGGCTTTTGCGGAGCAACCCTTCGAAGAATGGGCACCGTATGGTTGAACGCCACGTTGAAACTGCACGTTATGCACGGCCGATTTCGTGCGCGAATAAATAAAACACGGCCCGTGATCTCGGGAACCCGATTCGATCTCGGAAGCAATTAGAGAATCGCTTCTTCGAGTACTCATGCTTTCTAAAGTGCGATCAGTGTATCATCACGGAGAAGCAGTCAATAGTCTCCGATTCGTATTAGTATGGCACTGCGGATCGATAAAATTTCGCTGCAAACGGCATTAATGCATTCCCATTAATTGCAACGATACTGTATAGAAAATGGACTTCAAAAACAGTGTCGAGGAAAACTGTATACATTTTTACCATTGAACCAATGCACTGAACTACTTAATGGATTTTAATGAATACATCTGTACAAATACGATCACCTTTGCTTGGCTCGGAGAGAAATCCTTTGATTAATTCGAGCGGCGTATTCTAAGTCGATTCTAAACAATGAACTCCTTTCTTTCTTTTTAACACGGCCTCCGAGTTCTGTGTCGGGCGGGAGACGGATCGCGTTTTCGCAATTTCGGGAAAACCGGCAATTTGGTCGCGTTATATCGTTGGTCGGCCACGCGAAAGCGCATTAAAGAATCATCCATCCATCTATACGAGGGGATAGGTACTCGACTGCCCGGCATAATGCCGTCACTCGAGCCCCTCCGGTACACAGCCGAGAGGCTCTCGCGGCACGCACGCGAGCGCAATGTGCATACATTGTAAAAAATGACGGATGATGATTTCCCGAGCCGATGACTCTCTATGCGGGGCGCACGCGAACGTGTCGAGTATGAATTGCAGAAAATAGCGGACGATGATTTTCTGACTCGATGACCGCATATCCGAGACAACATAAAAAAGAAAAATAGAGAAAGAAACGGTTTGTTATACGAGCGTTCTAGATTTCCTCCTAAATACCCCCTCGCGATGCGCGTGTGCACGTGTGCGTCTGTGTGTGTGTGTGTGTGTGTGTGTATGCGCGTTCTAAATCACCGACGGAAATCATTCGCCCCGGTTTCGCTGGGAATGACGGAAGTCGTATCGACTTCTTGCAGAACTCCGCGGGAATGCGATTGTGGGAAAAGAAAAAGGCGGTGTGCACACAAGTTTCGTCGTGAGGATAAGTTCGGCGCTGAAATTACTCGAAAAGCGCTTCACTGCGCCTTCGTGTGCCGCGAGAGAGATTTATCCCTCGACCGGGGGAATTTCACTTGCGTAGATTGTACATTACATCTCTCGTTATTTCGCGCGCTAGAAATTACATTTTTCAAATACGCGAACTTAGGTCGATATTGATTCAGATTATTATTATTATATCCTCCGGTAATCATTGCTCGTTAAATCCGCGAAGAGTATTCTTTTCCGACCATCACCGGCGATCCAAAAGATTCCTCGTCCCGTTATGAAAATCATTCATCTGTGTATCCGTATAATAAGAATAATCCACCTCAGACTTCGTGCTAGTGCTCGGTGAGACGTAAGGAACGCGAGCAAACGCACGCGAACGTAATAGCGCATTCATCAAACGCGTATGCAAGGAAATATTGGGTAACGTTATGAAAAACACCCTCTCGAGAAGTGTACGTTACCTCTGATCGCCTTCGTACGATTACTTGACGCTGAGAATGATCGAGTCACGCTTTTCGAACAATACATTCCATGTTCCAGAAACGAGCTCTTTATTCTTCTCAAATCTCTTTAAGTGAAATCTCGCTCAAAACGAGCGGAAATTCATTCGAAGCGACACTATCGCTCGAAGTCGCAAGATTGTGAATGTTTCTCTCAAGCTTAGAATGAATTTCGGCCTCATACGAGCGAATATTTCAATAAATTAGAGCGAATTCGATCCTGTAACAGTACGATGCATCAGATTCACTCTTCAATTTCGAATGAAAATATTCACCCGACGATTTGGAATGGAGAATCCGCTCTCGACGAGCGAAAGGCCGCTCGAATTCGAGTGACTCGGCTGTCACCCTATTTTTCGAGTAGAATTTCACTCCGAGCAATTCCGAGAGTGCGAATCATAAGTTCACCTCATCTCCTCGAGGGAATTGTCGTGGACACGCGAGTTTTCGCGACCCGCATGTCCAACAATGAAACAACTGGCCGAGAAACGAAAGCGCTCATCGACGGGAAACCGTAACAGCTCCCCCCCGGTTCTGGTCGTCTCACTCGTCTGAGCTCGTGTCCATCCATCCGCGTCGCTCTACCAGTCGGATTCCGGTCGCAACCCTAAAGCAACCCTCGTCAGCCACTCAGTCGTGAATATGCCGCGGCTCGCGACAAGAGCGTGCACGCGAGCGCGAGAGACAAGACGACCCCAAGACTACGACGTTTGCATAGGGATGGTTGTGATACTACTAATATAATACTGCTATCGTTATTATGACACATATTCCTTTCAATATCGGGCATTTTCGTATCGATATTCGTGCGTGAACATACGATATCTTGAAAAGTAGCTTTGCAAGACAAACCCTTCCCTGCTTCTTATATTTCTTCTAATTTCAAAGATTTCTTTAAATTTCAATACCAATATCGGCATAGATATTTTGGTTCTGATACGATAATGATATCGACCCGTTTCAATATTAATATCGATACTTTCATGGTATCACAACATTCCTACGTTTGCGTACCCGGGAGGACACGATTGCAACGTCAGACTGCGCGAATGGACGCAGTGTTTTTCGACAACTCGATCGCACGGTTCCGTAAGCGGAAAGCTCGATACTTGCCGCATATCGTCGTCGGTAGCTCGCTCGCGACAGGAGAAAAAGCGCGTAATGACAACGTCGAGCCACAATGTTTCTCGTGTAATTCATGAACGGGTTATGGCCGGTCTCTTGCGCCGGCTCTTTAGTTCCATATCTCACGCGAGAAATATAAAAAAGCTCGCGACAGGGCGGACGGCCGGCGAGGGTGCACAGGTGCCCGTTGTTAAGGGCTGCCGGGGCCCGAGGGGACCGGGGGGGTCGAGCGAGAACGCGGTTTCGCGATTGTTCGCGCGGCTTGCGCGCCGCTTAATTGGACTGATAGAGTCGATTCGATGCTCAACGAGCCTTTATGCCCCGTGACCCGCGCCGGATAAAAGTAAT